TATAAAAAAAACCTGCATTAAGTCTAAATTAACTACTCATATCAAATATAATTTCGTAAATTGCATAAACAATTATGAAAAAAACCTGCATTACGTCTAAATTAACTCATAAATCAAACATAATTTCACAATAATTATGAACAAAACAGCATTATGTATTTATGCATTGCTTAATACAAAGAGACGAATCGCCCATCACACAGATTGCATTTAAAAACATGAGACACAGTGAAAAGGAATAAACCTCCACAAATTCACGACGTGTTTTCTAAAAGTTTAAATTGTTTTAACTTTGCATGACTACATCTCTTGTGTGAGATGCGAGTGCAGCAGTCATTATTTTGTCCGTCTAAAAAAAATACACTGAATATGCGTTCTGTGTGAATGGCTTGGTTTTCACCTAATCAAGATGTTCTCTGCATTGAGCTTCTATATTTCTCTAATATTTTGAATGCATAACACAGCAGCGGCGCATCTCTTGGGCTAGATGAACAAAACACTAAAATGCAACAACGTCACTTACATCATTATCACCGCATCTCGCGCACAACTGATGACGCTCCCTGATGCACTCGCGAGTGCAGCAGTCATTATTTTGTCCGTCTAAAAAAAATACACTGAATATGCGTTCTGTGTGAATGGCTTGGTTTTCACCTAATCAAGATGTTCTCTGCATTGAGCTTCTATATTTCTCTAATATTTTGAATGCATAACACAGCAGCGGCGCATCTCTTGGGCTAGATGAACAAAACACTAAAATGCAACAACGTCACTTACATCATTATCACCGCATCTCGCGCACAACTGATGACGCTCCCTGATGCACTCCTAACATTCAAATGCAAATGTTTATTTTAAATTAGACTAATATTCATTTATTTATTCACAATCTCCTCATCACAGGCAGGCACAGCACTCAATTCATTATGTGTTCGGTGTTTGTGTGTGCTGTCTGCGTCACTCATAGCACGTGCCTATATCGTGCACTATATTTAAATTTTTTATATCGTTGTCGAAGAAGGTATACCGTCGATAAATATCGATACCGTTTTATCGCCCAGGCCTAGCTGAGAGGGGGAGGGGTGGTTAATGTTTTTGATTAGAGATTACAAGTGCAAAGGAATTAAAAATAATAATAATAATAATGATGTGCACGGATAAATCATTTATATTAAATATTTAAACACTGTGTTAAAAATAGAATAGTCCTTTTGATTTCATTGTGACTTGGTGTGGTGGACGCTAATACAGTTATCGTTAAACCGTTCTAATGCCTCAGTTTTAAAAATCGTTCTAATTCTATAAGAACAGTTAACTGGTTTTTGGCATATTGATAACCATTTGTATAACCACAGTTTTACTACAAATTATACTATGGCTAAACTCTGGTTAGTGTAGCAAAGCCATGGTTAATTTGTGGTTACCATGGTTTAACTATAGTAACCATGTTTTTTTTTTTATTATTATTTGTAGTAAAGCATGGTTCATTTTCGTAAGGGAAGTTCACGCCACAACTAGGCTAGCAATTACGACACAGACTAATGATATTGTTGGAATCACTTTGAGAACTATTTTTTTTTCCAGGTATGAACGATTAATAACATTGACAGCCAAACAGAATCCACTAGACTTTAAAGAGCGCGAGAATTTAAAGCTGCAAACGACAAAACTGCAGCGTGCTTATGATAAACAGAACGTTATCGTGCGTTGGTGTGAACGCTATCGTTCTGTATGTGAACAGGCTTTGAGGTTTCGGTTGCGACAGAATCTCTTGAGTGTTTTTTCATTCAAGCATGTTCTCATATGCAGTGTACGACTGTCTCCTGTCGACTCTCTTTGTGGTTTTTCGCCATTGTGATACTAACAGCTTTATATGCACTTTGGGAGTGATTACATATCAGTTTATGCCCCGAGAAAAGTCAAAAGTTGGAAAACACTCACCACTCTCTTACCAGCACATGATTTAGGAGGTTTCTTCAAGTCACGACACAAAGTTTACACTGTAGAGCAGGGTTCCTCAAATCTTGCCCTGGAGGGCCAATGCGCTGCAGAGTTTAACTCCAACCCTGACCCAATTCACCTACCTGTGATTTTCTAATGATCCTGAAGACATTGATTAGCTTGCTCAAGTGTGTTTGATTAGGGTTAGAGCTAAACTCTGCAGGAAAGTAGATATCGTGGGCCAGATTTGAGGATCCCTGCTGTAGAGCATTGCTTTGCCATGCCTGCCACCTAGTGGGAGCCTCAATCCAATCACCTTAACTCTATAGCCAGGCTGACTGGCATCCATAATGTCTGAATTAAATGCCGCTGGGGAGGAAGTGAACACTGCTCTTTCATCGGCCCCACGCTCTGCCTCTGTGGATTAATACTTCCGAGCCTCTGGATACAATCCACATCAAACCTCTGACAGTTTAGAGCAACAATGAACTAAAATAAAACTTGATGTAGGCCTACTGTGAAAATCATTTGACATTTATGCCTACAAGTGGAATGGGGAGTAGCAATGATGAATTCACTCTTGGGAAATGAGGGGAAATCCTTAATAGTACTGAATTATTAATTATATAAGATCATAGGAATCAAGGAATCATAAAAAAATGCATGTTATTTTTTATTTAGTCCCTCAGCTGTCTTCAGTGTCAAAAAGTTAGATCTCAAAATCATACAGTCATTGTTGGAAAGGGTTCAAATAGCCTACTCAAAAGATGCTGGAAAACCAAAGAATTTGTGTTTTTCTGAAGAACAGCGCGAAGTTCAACTCTTCAGGACAAACAAGGGACTCATTAACAAACTATAAAAAAAAACAAACAGCTGTGGATCATTCAGGTATTAAGAATCAAGTGTATGTAAACTTTTTTTTAATTCAGCTATTATTTTCTCTTGTTCCTCTACTGTTTTAAGACTTTTTTTAAAATACTTGCAAATGCAAAAAATGCATTAAATGAATTAAGATTTATTAAGATTTTTGTTAAATTATATATATATATATAGGAATAAACTTAGGAATAATTATTTCTTATTTTATTTATCTATTTATTGTATATATCAAGTCAAGAAAAATCACCTTTATTTATGTAGTGCTTTATACAATACAGATTGTGTCAAAGCAGCAAGAGGACAATAGTAACAGTAAATTTTTAGGGCAATTACTGCAATATAAGAAAGCATTAATAAATAAAAACAAAGATTATGACACGATTTAAATAGTTATTTTAGTTATTTGGCTAAATAAATCTGTTGCTGGACAGATGGAGCTTAAACAAGCTGAACGAGACAGAGTATGGTGTATTTCCTCTTATACCATGCATGAGTTTACATTGGATCAGAAATCTGCTGTTTACAAAGATGCATAAACCACACAGACAGTACGCCGAATCTCGTGGATTACAATTTGCAACTAGACGGATGCACGGTTACCTCCTCTACAGTCAAAAATCTGGGTGTTATATTAGATAGCAACTCCAACATGAAGCTGGAGGATTTGGACTCCAAAAGGAAAGGCAGGCCTGCGGGTCAAGATGGAGCTGTGTTATGATGTGTTTCCTGTTAGATAAAGCATGTGGGCCGCACTAATGAGGTGGCAGAGAAAACGCTCCGTGTGGCTCGATCACATGAACGTGGAGGAATGAAGAGATTCGACCTCTTGCGCTCAGTAAAAAGGACTCACAGATCTCTGCTAATGAATACGAACACATCTTCTGCACATTAATATACTTTGTTGTAAACAGGGTTACTACAATAGCTTCTGCTCTCGTCGTATGATCTTCTAAGTCTGCGGTTTTGAGTTTGATTGGCTCTGAATATGGGGCACATTTGTCTCATTTTCAACTCGACTAAGACTCAGGCCAAAGCAGTTTGTCACTGAACAAAAACAATCTGGATGTAATGTCAAAGTTTGCAGTAAGCATTTCCTGCTGGTTAATTCCTCCACTCATTGTGTCTGCTATTTATTTCACAGGAGCTGTTTTATAAACCCAGAATCAGTTAGATAAATTGTCATTCCTATGAATAAATATTGTGGTAATGCAATCCCTGCTGGGGGGAAAACAGCTGAAGTCTTGTCTCCCCAACTTCATCAAGCTGTTCTGATTTAGTGGTTTTATAAGGGTCTTGTCTTATGGTCATGCTGAAAGACCAGCTAAACCAGGGGTACCCAAACTCTGTCCTGGAGGGCCGGTGTCCTCCAGAGTTTAGCTCCAACCCCAATTTTGCATGCTGTAACTCAAGACATATCAAAGACGTTCTTGTAGATTTGTATTTTATTTTAATCTTCATTTTTAATGCCCTATATAGTTCAATGCCAGAGATAATACGGCTCCATGTGCAAATTGTTGAATTTGACCCATTTTCAATGATCAAAAACCAAATGTAGGTCACTTTGCTTACAGCTGATACTTATAGTTTATAAAGAGGAATGTCTGAAGAACAAATAGTGTTTAAACTTATTAAAGAAGTTGTAGCTTATGAGATCAAAAAAAGACACGAACATGTTCACTACTGAAAATGTCGTAATTGCAGTGCGTAACACAGCTTGTTATAATGGTGACGGAATGCAGAATCACATGCTCACATTTAATAAGTTCATTTATCAGTTTTGAGCCTGACCCTCATTTACTATTTCAATTCATCTTAAAAAAAAATAAAAAATCATGGTGCATTGGAAAACTCTAAAAATAAAAGTATCCTTTATCCAATCAATAATTAATTAATGAAAATAATTATTATAATATTAATCAATAATTAATTAATGAAAATAATTATTATAATATTAATCAATAATTAAATAATGAATTTGATTTAATCATTTATTTTTAATTAAACTGTCATTAATGAAATGTCATTTGTAAACAAATTTATTTCTAAACTGTTTGTAAAATCATTCATTGTTGCACTGAACTAAATGCACCAATTTTCATGCATAAAATGTACACAGAATTTTTTCACATTTACAGCAGAATTTTTTTTAAAAACAATTTACACATCAATTTAGCTTGTGTTATTGTGTTACTGATTACAATGGTTTTGATTTAGGAAAAAACACTAGTTGTAGATTGACAGGATGACCAGTGCTGTGGTCAAACTTAGAGCCAGAATTGGATGTTGGTTAATGGACGTCGTCCTGTCAGTCGGCCAGACGTCTCGAACCCCACACTCGGAGCAATCCGGCCCACACAGCGAACACACAGACATGTCCCGTCTTGTCTCAGATGTGTAGGACCGCACTGTCCTCCGTCCTGCAGAAGGTAAGGGAATGAAACAAGGAGCTTGAAACACATACTGGAACATACAAATGCATTAGAGAATCTGGAGCTATTATTTAAAGAGTCTTACGGGGCTCATAGTAATCGTAGATCATGACCACAGCATCTTGGACATTGATCACCTTAAAGTCCTGGATGGTGGATATTTCAACGCACCTTTCCGCTGTGGTCACCTGTGATGACAGAAAAGACAGTGAGACTGGACATACAGCCATGGATGCATAATGAACACAAAAACATGAACCAAATAAACCATCATCAGCACAAAAATAGATTCAGCACACTTATCCTGTAATATTGTAGTCATGAACATATAAGAGCAACTCACCGTGTCTAAATAAAGTGTAATTCGTCCTGAAGGTGTCTCTACTCGTCTGACTATATCATTTAGCTGGACACCGTTTTGAGCCAAACTGAACCCCGAGAGTAAACCCACGTCCAGTATGGCCATACCCGAGAATCACATGCTCACATTTAATAAGTTCATTTATCAGTTTTGAGCCTGACCCTCATTTACTATTTCAATTCATCTTAAAAAAAAATAAAAAATCATGGTGCATTGGAAAACTCTAAAAATAAAAGTATCCTTTATCCAATCAATAATTAATTAATGAAAATAATTATTATAATATTAATCAATAATTAAATAATGAATTTGATTTAATCATTTATTTTTAATTAAACTGTCATTAATGAAATGTCATTTGTAAACAAATTTATTTCTAAACTGTTTGTAAAATCATTCATTGTTGCACTGAACTAAATGCACCAATTTTCATGCATAAAATGTACACAGAATTTTTTCACATTTACAGCAGAATTTTTTTTAAAAACAATTTACACATCAATTTAGCTTGTGTTATTGTGTTACTGATTACGATGGTTTTGATTTAGGAAAAAACACTAGTTGTAGATTGACAGGATGACCAGTGCTGTGGTCAAACTTAGAGCCAGAATTGGATGTTGGTTAATGGACGTCGTCCTGTCAGTCGGCCAGACGTCTCGAACCCCACACTCGGAGCAATCCGGCCCACACAGCGAACACACAGACATGTCCCGTCTTGTCTCAGATGTGTAGGACCGCACTGTCCTCCGTCCTGCAGAAGGTAAGGGAATGAAACAAGGAGCTTGAAACACATACTGGAACATACAAATGCATTAGAGAATCTGGAGCTATTATTTAAAGAGTCTTACGGGGCTCATAGTAATCGTAGATCATGACCACAGCATCTTGGACATTGATCACCTTAAAGTCCTGGATGGTGGATATTTCAACGCACCTTTCCGCTGTGGTCACCTGTGATGACAGAAAAGACAGTGAGACTGGACATACAGCCATGGATGCATAATGAACACAAAAACATGAACCAAATAAACCATCATCAGCACAAAAACAGACTTGGCACACAATACTGATACAAATATTGTTTAAGAAGCTAAGAGGAACTCACCGTGTCTAAATAAAGTATAACTCGTCCTGAAGGCGTCTCTACTCGTCTGACTAAATCATTTAGCTGGACACCGTTTTGGGCCAAACTGAACCCCGAGAGTAAACCCACGTCCAGTATGGCCATACCCGTCTGTCTCAGGCCCTGGTTCTCCCTCAGCCTTAAAACAGATTTCTGATCAAAAGTGATTCCATCGAATATCCACAGTGACCCCCAAAAGTATTTGGCCACTTAAAAATGTTTGAATTTCATGATTTGCACTAGTTATCCAAAATGTAATGTAATATTGATGATATACTGTAGAATATGCATATTATAATTTAAGTATATTTTTAGGAATTGGTTTTTTGTTATTCAACAATGTGGACACTGATTTTACTTTTTAACATCCATACTGAGACTACTGTATATTATTTGTTATATGCTTTCTGTATTGTACTATTTTTCTATTCTGCCCAATAATATCATGCAAAATGGCCTGCTGATGAAAATGAGCCTTCTGGCTAACTCAAGAACGTTTACATGTATTTGAATGTTTATTAATGTACATTGTCCTTTTTAAGTAAATAAAAAGAAATGGAATGAAATGAAAAGAAAAGAAACAAACAAACAAACCATCAAACTGAGTGAAATCAGCAAACTAACAATTTTTAGAGCCACTTCTTTTAGAGCCAATTATTTTTCATGCATCCATTTTTCATGAATGCATGAAGTCATTTCTCAAATTCACATGGATGTCCTAGCAGAATAACAACGGTGTCATTTATTATATAAATAACAATAAACATCCACAAAGTTTGACAACCAGAAACTGTCCAAGACTTTTTGTCTTCATTTTAAACATAAATATATTTACTGTTTCATACTTCATTTTGTGATTTTTTTATATTGAAATGTGCACTTGCTATATATATTTTATTCAAAACAAATGCCATTTGTTTTGATATTTTGTAATAGATTTCAAATATATTTATAAATGTTTTATTATTACCATTTTGGATTTGAAAATAAGATATTAAACAAAGTATTGTTGATAAATCCGTGTATCATTCGATCATTCGTTTTTTTTATTTAATATTGAAAGTAGAAAAATTAGAAAACGGCTCCTGAACGAGAATTCAGCTTAAATTTTCATTTTTCGTTCAGGGGTAGAAATATTAATAAACAGCTTGAATATTCGATTTCTACACGTGGATGGGAATTAAACGCCCCTTTCTGCTGATTAGTCAGCCGAAGATCAAACGAAAGATCAAATGAAAAAAGACTAAATGTAGTTGCAATAAATGTGTTAAGAATCCATACAACTGCAGCAGCAGAGGACTATTATTCTGCTGCGTGATACTGCAGAAGAACAGATGAAGGCACGGTTTGATCTTTGGCTGACCAATCAGCAGAAAGGGGCGTTTAATTCCCGTCCACGTGTAGAAATTGAATATTCAAGCTGTTTATTAATATTTCTACCCCTGAACGAAAAGCAAAAATTTAAGCTGAATTCTCGTTTTTCGTTTTTTTGGAAAAAAAATGAAAAAATGAAAAAGGAGCCATTTCCCATTTTTCTACTTTCAATATTAAATCAAAAAACAAATGATCGAATGATACACGGATTTTGATAAATTGTATTTTATATTTATCTAATTTATATTATTATATGTTTAATGTGATATTTATTTAAATTAGTCTCTGTGTGTGTGTATGTATATATATTAGTGCTGTCAAACGATTAATCGCAATTAATCGCATCCAAAATAAAAGTTTTTGTTTACATAATGTATGTGTGTGTACATTGTATATTTATTATGCATATATAAATATACACACATGAATAAATAAGCTTTCTATTGATGTATGGTTTGTTAGGATATGACGATATTTGGTTGAGATACAACTATTAGAAAATATGGAATCTGAGGGTGCAAAAAAAATCGAAATATTGAGAAAATCGCCTTTAAAGTTGTCCAAATGAAGTCCTTAGCAATGCATATTACTAATCAAAAATTACGTTTTTATATATTTACAGTAGGAAATTTACAAAATATCTTCATGGAACATGATCTTTACTTAATATCGTAATGATTTTTGGCATAAAAGAAAAATCAATAATTTTGACCCATACAATGTCTTTTTTGGCTATTGCTACGAATATACCCCAACGACTTAAGACTGCTTTTGTGCTCCAGGGTCACATTTTATGTAAACAAAAACTTTTCATTTTGAATGCGATTAATCGCGCTTAATCGTTTGACAGCACTAATATTTCAGATTTTGTTTATTTTTATTTTTTTAGTTGAGTTAAAGACTTTTTTTTTTTTTATTAAAAAAACACTAATAATAAGTTGAAAAAAGCATGATGTTTCCAAAAGTCAAATAATCGTGTTAAATAATCTGAATATCAATAGTGACCATAATTTTGCCATAATCAAGCAGCCCTATTGTTTTGTTAACTATTTAATCACATTTTTTGGTGCTGATGAAATCATTTCTTAACTCAGACTTAATTTCTTAACTCAGCCGCTCACCTGAAACATATGTAAAGGTTTACATTGAACTCCTCATTGTCCATTACGTCTACATACAAATAAAAGGCCTCGTCCGTGTGCATGTCACGCCCTCTGAGCGATGTTCTCAGGTTAATCACATTGTAGAACACACTAAGCTGAAACAGTAAGAGAAAATCAATATTACTCTAATAAGTCTTTGGGATTTTTTCCCCCTCATTTTATGACATTTTATAAAGTAATAGTACAAGCTAGATGATTTGAGGAATCATGTCTGAAGAACAAGTTAGCAAACACAACTCAAAATGAGATCATCTCTGCTTTTGCTAATCTTCTGCTGAACAGAGTTCTGGATGCTATTTCTTCAGTGAGGTCTTTCAATGCAGCTCGAGATGTTGCTGGTGTCTCACTGATGAGGAAAACCGCCTGGGCCGGTTTATGTGCTCCATGGCGAGCAATCAAAGGTATAATTACACATTGGACCGAGAAAGAGGGGATCCGACTCCCCTCATTTTATGACATTTTATAAAGTAATAGTACAAGCCAGATGATTTGAGGAATCATGTCTGAAGAACAAGTTAGCAAACACAACTCAAAATGAGATCATCTCTGCTTTTGTGAATCTTCTGCTGAACAGAGTTCTGGATGCTATTTCTTCAGTGAGGTCTTTCAATGCAGCTCGAGATGTTGCTGGTGTCTCACTGATGAGGAAAACCACCTGGGCCGGTTTATGTGCTCCATGGCGAGCAATCAAAGGTATAATTACACATTGGACCGAGAAAGAGGGGATCCGACTGCCATGACATCTCTTTTTATCTTTACGGGGATTTCAGTTATTATTCGCAGCTGTTGAACCTTCATAACCTGCTTTCATTGGTAATGCCTTGCTAATTGACAGTTTTGCAATGGAGATGATAACTTGATCCTGCTAAATTATGCTACTGTGTTAAGATGGTCAACAAGCAAACAGCAGCTTTTTTTTTAACTTTTCATATTTTTTGCAGCAGTACAAAACAACGCATTTCAGGACAATATCTCAAGCAGGGAGTTTAGACATACCTGAAACAGAGCAAAGCCTTTACCCTCTGCCACCACCTCAATATCAACCTCCTCTTCTGTTTCAATCTGTAGAGGCAAACCCAACATTAGCCTGCATCACTTAGCAGATCCTGACACTTACTACAGCTTCACAGCAACAATAACTTTGATAAGAAACCACACATATGCCGTTTAATACTTCATGTTAGGAGTTACACACTGTTGTTCAGAAATATGAGGAATACAATTTTGAATAAAGTATTTTATGCTCACTAAAGTTGCATTTATTTGATCAAAGATACAGTAAAGACACATACACTGTGAATTTTTTTTACAATTAAAAATAACTGTTTTCTATTGTAATATGTGACCCTGGACCACAAAACCAGTCATAAGGGTCAAATTGAGATGTATACATCCTCTGAAAGCTGAATAAATAAGCTTTCCATTGATTTATGGTTTATTAGGACAATATTTGGCCGAGATACAACTATTAAAAAACCTGGAATCTGATGGTGCAAAAAAATAAAAATATTGAGAAAATCGCCTTTAAAGTTGTCCAAAATGAAGTTCTTAGCAATGCATATTATTAATCAAAAATTACGTTTTGATATATTTACGGTAGGAAATGTACAAAATATCTTCATGGAACATGATCTTTACTTAATATCCTAATGATTTTTGGCATAAAAGAAAAATCGTTAATTTTGACCCATACAATGTTTTTTTGTCTATTGCTAAAAATATACCCCGGCGACTTAAGACTGGTTTTGTGCTCCAGGGTCACATATATTTTAAAATACAATTTATTCCTGTCATGGCAAAGCTGAATTTTCACTGATTCAGTAATAAAGCCACATAATGTAAACATGATGCATGTTAATATGATTTTAGTGTGCAAAAACTAACCTTTTCTGTGTGAAATTACATCTAATTTTACTACTTAAAAATTACCATGACAGCTCTTAAAATGATTTAAACAGCTTTACAGCTCAAATAATAGAGGTTTTAACTGAAGAATTAATGTAAGTGCTTTAATAAAATTATATGCTTCACATTTGTGCGCTTATATTAAGAGTTATATTAATATATAAATTATATTATATTCATATATTTTAAAATGTAATTTATTCCTGTGATGTAAAGCTGAATTTTCAGCATCATTACTCCAGTCTTCAGCGTCACATGATCTTCAGAAATCATTCTAATATGCTGATTTGATGATCAAGAAACATTTCTTATTATCAGTGTTAAAAACAGTTCTGCTTAATACTTTTGTGGAAACGGTGATGCATTTTTTTTCAGGATTCTTTGATGAATAGAAAGTTCAAAAGAACAGCATTTATTTGATATGGAAATCTTTTGTAACATCATAAATGTCTTTACTATAGCATTCATTTATTTAAAAAAAAAAAAACTTACTGACCCCAATCTTTTGAACAGAAGTGTATATCTAGAGCAGTGTATTATATACATACGAGCAGGTCTTGGCTCTGTTGGAGCAGGTAATTGTATCTGTCTATGTTGAATGTGGCGGCAGCACTGGAGGCACTGTTCACAGTGATGGTGAGATCTATGGACTCTGCGCTGCTGAAGGTGGCGTAGATTGACAGTGCATGCAACGCCATCACTGTATCCTGACAATAAAGACAAACAAACTGAGCAGAGATCTTTTACTAAAGCTTTAGAACTGATCAAAACAACAAAAAGGACATTCAACAAGAAAAAAAATGGGATAAGCATGTATCAGTTTTGGCAGATGTTATCATCTCTGCATCATTAACAGGTGTCTGTGTATCTGTGTCACAGAAACATTCTCAATTCAATCACCTGCCGCCTGGAAAATAACACTGCGCATGTGCGGAGCAGAGACACAGATCCTTTAATCTTTCCACACTCTACCAAATACGACTCGTTCAAGCACAGTCAGATGTTCTCCTGTTGGATTCGAGTTGTGTCAAAGCGAGGGGCTTCAACATGAGTGTAGCGCTTTATCAAAGCTCACGTCCGGGACACTGCTAGTGCTCATTGAGGTTAGTGTTCGTGACAGAACGCAGGCCTTCGGTCCCGAGGCAAATGTCCAGGATAATATCACGAGGGCCTTTTTAAAATAAAAAGTACATTTTCTTATCTCACCTCAATGGCCTTTCGCACAGCTTGATTTCCAATTGAAACATTTGCCTGCCAAAAAATTCCCCTCCCTGTATCAATGAAATATAGATCATAGATGTGTGTAATCATCAACACTGGAAACTAGTCAGTGCCCCAGTAGATGTTAAACCCTGCTGACTGGAAGGACCCAGTTGTTGAAGGAATTTCCCAAGTTCATTTGTGGTGTAATTTTGATTACCTCTTTTTTGATTTAGCTTTTCTTAAACTAAACAAAAAAGAAGAAGCTTGGTTACAGTGAGGCACTTACAATGGGAGTAAATGGGGCCAATCCATATATGTTACAATACTGTTTCAATAAGATGTAAACAATATGTGTTAACATAATGTGTAAAGTTATGAAATTATGATTTAAATAGCTTTACAGCCCAAATAATAGACACATTTTAAGAAGAAATAATGTAAGTGCTGTTATGAAATGATACACTTCATATTTCTGCTTTTAAATCCTCTAAACATTGACCCCATTTACTTCCATTGTTTTTTTAAAGAGAAATAAACTAAATAAAATGTGGAATTAGTCAAGATTATTTTTGGGGATAATCAACATTATGCTACAAATGATATAGATTAAGCGTAACGTCTAGTGAACCTGGAATATTCCTGTAATATTGTGAAATATTATTACAATTTAAAATAACTCTTTTCTATTTGAATATCAGCATTTTAAGAAGAAATAATGTAAGTGCTGTTATGAAATGATACACTTCATATTTCTGCTTTTAAATCCTCTAAACATTGACCCCATTTACTTCCATTGTTTTTTTAAAGAGAAATAAACAAAATAAAATGTGGAATTAGTCAAGATTATTTTTGGGGATAATCAACATTATGCTACAAATGATATAGATTAAGCGTAACGTCTAGTGAACCTGGAATATTCCTGTAATATTGTGAAATATTATTACAATTTAAAATAACTCTTTTCTATTTGAATATCATTTAAAATGTCATTTATTCCAGTCATGCAAAGCTGAATTTTCAGCATCATTACTCCAGCCTTCAGTGTCACATGATCCTTCAGAAATCATTCTAATATGCTGATTTGCTGCTCAAGAAACATTTCTGATTATTATCAATGTTGAAATCATATTTTTGTGGAAACTATGATAAAAATAACTATTTAGCCAGTGTTTTAGAATGCTGTTGCAGGCAATTTAGCCTTTTTAAAATGTTGACATTCGTTTCGGGAGCCTGAAGGCCTAAAAGTGCCTTTTAGTCAGCCGTTCTGTCCCGTTTAAGCGGTTTCTATTGTCTCTCTCGTGAGAAGAATGTCTGTTTGATATGTACCTGAGTGGATCCGTATCCCCCTTGATGGTTTCTTTGCTTACTGAGCCACTTCACCAGAGTGAATCCTTCATCCATTAGTTTGAGTCTGTGCATGGCGAGCAATACGTAGGCTGACATCTCAATATCTGATGAACTTGGCTGCCAGGAATTATACAGGACGTTAGCTGGAGATCTCCAGGTTGGCACTCCATCTGAAAGACCCAGATACAACGTCACCATCCAACGATTATAAACACATTAGCATCTAACACATTTTACTGTGCCAGGTACGACGCTCATCCTTAAAGGACAACTGCAGGTTATTTTCAGCCTCGTGTATATGTTTCACATCTGTGGTGTGCTGTCCTCAGAGTGTAAATCCAGAGGATATTTACCAACAATTAGTGCTCTGTTCAACAGCTCGGTGAGGGCAGATGGGCCGGCGGTGCTGTTGGCCAGTGATAGAGCATAGGTCACTAAAGACAGGCTGTAGTTACTGGAGATTCCCTGAGCCAGTCGAGATGTCAGGAAACTCACAGCAGAAGAAATGCTGCCTTCATATGTATTCTACCAGAGACACAAACAGATAGTCTTCAATCAATCCGTCCATCCTTTCTACGTTCAGTCGATCTATCGTTCAATCCATCTATCGTTCAATCATTCAGTCTAAGAATCACCCTGTATTCAGCGTCCTCCAGAAGCGATATGAGGACGTACGCTGTGAGAGACACCGGCCCATTCAGTCCTCCCTGGAGCTCTGTGTGGATGACCCGACCCGGCTCGTTGAACGAACCGTCAGGGTTCTGATGGGCCAGCAGCCAATATGCTGTCCTCTGCATCACCATCGGGTCAATGGAAATGAAGTCCTGAGCCTGGAGGAAACACCTGAGCACGAACGCTGACAGCCTGAATATCATAAAACATACCACAAATATAAAATTTGGTATATTTACTCCAAATCAGAATTTAGGGGTAGAATTTATACTGTGATGTGCTTATTTTTGTTTACCATGTGCTGCCAGAATCATCACTGTCTCCAAAAGCACTGAAGGAGCCATCAAACCTTTGGTAAGAAAGCTCACGTTCATAAGCTGCAATCAAACAGAATGTGATATATGATATTATATGACAACTCAAGGACATTTATAGTGCTATAAGACTACTAGGGCTGTCAAAATGGCTGAAAAACTAAATTCGAATTTTGTACTTAAATATTATCAAAATTCGAATTACCTGTATATTTGAATTTAAAATGCATAATTTCCATTAGGGTGAATAAAAGCTTTTGGCTTCTCTCCTGAGGCCACAAGAGGGCATCGACCAACGCACGTTTATTCAAAGCATTTAAGATAACATGACTATCTGTGAAAAAAGTGCATGTTTAAAATAGTGTTTATAAACCAATTATAATTAATTAAGTTGCTTAAACAACTATAAACAAAACAGCATCACACAGATTAAATTTTTCATTTAAAAACACGAGGTGCAGTGGGATGGGGAAAAAACCCCGCCATAAAGTCTCAATATATGTTTTTTCAAAGTTAAATTTGCATTCATTTTACATGGCTTTCTAAACATGCGGCTCTTTTGTGCGAGACGCGAGTGCAGCTGTGATAGATGTCCCTCTAGAAAATGTGCGAAATATGTGTTCTGTGTGAATGACTTGGTTTCAGTTTTGACGTAAACAAGATCTCCGCATTGATGCTCTCTTTTCCTGCAATATTTGTAATTAACAACGCAGCAGCGCCACATCTAGTGGCTTCAACTGGATAGGCTAACAAAAATATTATAATGCAATGACACTTAGCCTACATCGTCATCGTATCTCGTGCGCCACTGATAAGGCTGCCTCCTTAACACACACCTAGAATTCGAATGCAACGCTTTTGCATTCGAATGTGGATTTTTATTTTAAATTCGACGAATATTCGAAATTCAAATAATTTTTTGACAGCCCTAAAGACTACACACCGCTCACCTTCCATCATGTAGCTCATAGCTTTGTTTCTGGTCTGTTCATCGCTCTGCTTGGTGCTTCTCATGTACTGGAGAACATAAATATTCGGAGCAAAATGGATCATGTTCTGCTCACCACAACCATAGGGCATCTCAATGAGAGAGTCCAGATTGTCAATGGATGGGCCCAGAATGTCACCTGCAACACAGACACATAGAGGACAGATGTTTTCACTCATTAATGCAAAAACAGACTGATAAAGTGCTCTTAGAATAGAAATACAGAGTGAGGACACACACCCACAGCAGACACGCTTGCCCTTTGACTGTCAGGAACCACATTTGGAGGAAAACTAAACAACATTGTCCTAGTCAGCGTTTCCTGCTTCAGTTGAAACTCCAGAAACAAGGTTTGAGTGAACGACTGCTCCAGTCCCTCTGGCTAGAGAAAAATCATTCATCAACATTGACATTCAACAACAATAACAACAAATGTTTAGCAGGATTTTCCATTTTCCCAGGCTGTTGCGTATGTTGTACATTGCACATTGTTGGAGTCCCTTTAATTTATTTAAAACACCAATTATTACAGATTTGGTTTGCTGTAATAAATAGAATCATGAAGAATGAGGGAAAAAAGCAAAAAATTTCCAGATGCATTGCAGTCATGAACATACAGTATGAGGCAGAAATTGCCATGAAAACTGTCAAAATGTCAAAATAAATAGTTGTACTGTCTGTAATTTATTTAAATAAAAACATTAACGTATTACAGATTTTCCATTGCTGTAAGAAATATAGAATCATCAAAAATAATGAGGAAAAAAGCTAAAAATGTCCATATGCATTGCAGTCATTTGATAATTGCATGAGTTGAAAATTTAATCATAATGTCTAAATACATGCATAGATAAATAAATGCATGAATAAATGAAAAAATATTCTTAAAACAACCTTAATTTTCTTTATGCAAAATAGGCCAACAAATAATTTTTTGGGGGTGAAATATGCTGAAATGAATCACCTTGACAAGAACCGTCTTGTAGACCCAGTCTGAAGAGTAGACGGACGTGGCTTTGATGGAGATGGGAATCTCTCCCAGCGCTGTGGCTCTGATGGGGAACAGAAGCGTTGTGATGTTGTTACTCAACACTGAGGCTTTCCTCACGTTGTCCAAGGAAAATCCTCCATTGTCTGGTGACACAAACTCAAACATCGAACTTTCTGCAACCACCACCATCACCTGTGACGGGTAAAGACATGAAGAGAGCTTCAGGTCAATTGTCATTTAGCTGACTTCAATTCACAAATCAACATCAAATGGCATTCACAAAACAGTTTGCTTTTGTTTATTTGTGTGCCAGAGTTTAATGCTGTGAGTCAGTGCTTTGTTCAGATAACTAACACAAAGTTTAACAGTTTCAACGGTCATAATGATGCTGCCTTAAAGGAACAGTTCACTCAAAAATGAATACTATATGCTGAAAATGTACTCACCCTCAGGCCATCCAAGATGCAGAAGACTTGTTTCTTCATCGGAACAGATGTGGAGAAATGTAGCATTCCATCACTTGCTCAGCAATGGATCCTCTGCAGTGAATGGGTGCCGTCAGAATGAGAGTCCAAACAGCTGATAAAAACATCACAATAATCCACAAGTAATCTACACCACTCCAGTCCAGCAGTTAACGTCTTGTGAAGTGACAATATGTGTGTTTGTAAGAAACAAATCCATCATTAAGATGTTTTTAACTTCAAACTATTTTTCTGGTTAAAACAGTGCTCTCTATATCTATAATATTGCTTTATCCAGTTAAATATTTTGTCTCGTCTGAATCAGAAGAGAAATGTGCACAGATCGAGGACTGTTTACATGTCAAAACATGTGGGTGGATTTTGATGTGAGAGGACAGTAAGGGATGGCCTTTTTTACTGGAGGAAGCGTTATTATGGATTATAGATTATAGTATGTTGGCCAGAAGCGATGACTTACAGTTAAAAGCGATGGTTTAAAGTTCTTACAATCATGCATCTTTTTTACAAGACATTAACTGATGGACTGGAGTGGTGTGGATTATTGTGATGTTTTTATCAGCTGTTTGGACTCTCATTCTGACGGCACCCATTCACTGCAGAGGATCCATTGCTGAGCAAGTGATGCAATGGTACATTTCTCCAAATCTGATGAAGAAACAAACTCATCTACATCTTGGATGGCCTGAGGGTGAGTACATTTTCAGCCAGTTTTCATTTTTGGGTGAACTATTCCTTTAACAAACACTAATAAATGTGTTTTCTTTTATGAATTAGTCAAAGTTTAGAAACTCAGACATATCAGTGAACAACACCTGCACAGAACTTTTACAAGCACAAATCTCACCTCCAAATCAACATGCATATAGTTGAATAAATTGACTTCCAGCAGTAGCAGTTCTCCACGGATCAGGAATTCCGGGAGATTCAGTGACACAAAGAAATCTCGGAACACAGTCAGCTGGAAAAGAAACTCCTTTTTAATAATCAATATCTCTATTATATATATATTAATATTCAGTGATAGGTAAAGTGTACATGGTGCATCACCTCTGCAGGAGCGCTGATGCCCAAACCCATATTCTCTGACATCACGATGGCAAAGGCCACCCAAGAGGTCAAGCTGTCCGGCACAGTGAAATGGAAGGAATCCGAGACAGAATTACTGCAACGTAAGGCACAAATTAGTAAATTGTTGACATTAAATGAGTGTAGATAGAAGCTCAGAACATTCTTAAGGGGAAAAAAAAGAAATTGAAATTTGCTCAATTTTCTGACTTAAAAAATCAAAGAAATCAAATGTGACAGTAAAGGTATTTATAATATTTTAAAAATCTGAATTTGAACTTTCTACCCATCAAAGTGTTCTGGGGAAAATGTATAATGGTTTACATAAAAATATGAAGCAGCACAACTGTTTTCAACACTGATAATATTCAGAAATTTTTCTTGAGCAGCAAATCAGCATATTAGAATGATTTCTACAGGATCATGTGACACTGAAGACTGGAGTAATGATGCTGAAAATTCAGCTTTGCATCACAGAAATAAATTACATTTTACAATATATTCACATAGAAAACAGTTATTTTAAATGGTAATAATATTTCACAATATTAATGTTTTTACTGTATTGATATTATTATTATTATTATTGATCAAATAAATGAAGACTTTGTCAGCCTAAGAATCATCTTTAAAAAACAATGGGAAAAAAAATCGAACTTTTGAACAGTAATGAATAATTGAAGCATTTAAGTAAAATAAAATTTAAATCTCGGACTGTTGGTTTTAGACTTTGGCATACTGGCATATATTTGTTGAGATCTCTTGTGAAACTCTAGAGGAGACGCGCATGTGAAGTTAGTAGGAAAAAATCAGCAGGAGACTAAAGCAAAAGTTGCTTCGCTCATTGCTGTCTAGGAGAAACAACTGGAATATTAAAGAGATCTCATTTGTGATTTCTTGTCATTTCCTAGTTAAAATCAGCTCGAGGACAGACATATTTCTCCTCATACCTCACATTAGCATCCAGCCAGATCCAGGTTTCAGGAAAGTCTTTTCGCTTTCTGGGCTCCTGAAAAGCCTCGCTGTCCAGCTGATTCAGATAGAGTTCCGCCCCTGCTGTGGAACATATGAGCTTTGGTGAGAAAATGATTATGAAAAGGCAAGAGATTACGGGCAAAACCATTGTTTTTTCATGTACTGGTCAATTTTGAGATGTTATCTTTGCTTCCATTACATTTCTTCTTTCAGACTAGTGGAAAGAAAACATTTTAAATACACATTTTAGTGTTTATTTTTTATTCCTACTGTGTCAGTAGCTTACAGACATTGCAGGAATACTCATCTAGGAATATGTATAATAAAGATGTCTCTTGTGCTTTATTTATTTGATCAAAACTAAAACAATATTGTGAAATATTATTACAATGTAAAACAACTGTTTTCTGCTTGAATATATTTTAAAATTTAATTTATTCCTGTGATCAAAGCTGAAATTTTATTGCAAAAAAAAAAACATTACATTCAGTTCACACTTATGTATATTCATTTATATGATATTATTTATAATTAAAATCATAAAATCAAAAATCATAAAGAAATTATATATACAATGTAACAAAAAATTGTTTCACTTAAATAATTTTATGGTTCTTCTGTAATTCGGTAGTGCTAATTATTACTGTACTATATATTTTTACATAGCACCAGGTACCTGTCAGGTAAGTCATTAATTATGAAACACTGGTTTAGTGCAGATACGTTTTTGTACTAATTTTGCACTAATTTAAAATATATTTTGCTTTAGTATTTGCATGTCCAAATTAATTAAATAGAATTTCAATTTTTTTAAAAACTACAACAATTTCAGAATTGCAGAATTTTTCTTAGTTTTCTTTTCTGACTTCATATTTATGCATTTATTTATTCATTTATTTTTGACAAACATTCTTTATCAGCATTGGTTTCATCAAGTTGGATAGTCAATAGTTCAATGTCTTAAAATGGACGTATTTTAAAACAGGATAATTCATGAGAAAATCCATCAGGAACTGAGTATGAAACACTTTTAAGAAGACCTTTTGACTAAGTCTATCATCATTTGCTTTTCTTTCTGTAATATTAAGCAGAGTACCTACAACAGTAGGCTAAAACAATGACTAAAAAGGCATTTATTTAATTTAGAAATAAAATCTATCACATTTATCCATTTCCATCTTGATCTTTACTATGTTGTATTTCCAAACATATATGTGAATATCCCGTGATGAACTCTTACTGTGTTTCTCAGGACTTGTGTGAAAGTAACTTGCAGAGCATCATTCACGATCTCTCCATCTGGAAGCGTGTGGTACACCACCACACAAGCCACTGGAGTCCAAGAGTGATCTGTGTTCAGACTGAAGGAGGAGGAATGCACCGTCCCAGCATCCAACACCTGACCGCGGGACATCACCTGCAGAACACATCCATCAATACAGGCTCATTCTCAGAAATGTCTCAATGACTTACAACTGATATCATTAACAGGATACCCTTTTGTGCTTAATCATATTGAATGTGCACTTGTAGTGTACTTCAGATCTTTAAGGGGACATCAGATGCCCATTTTCCACAAGTTGGTATGATTCTTTAGGGTCTTCATGAAATGTCTGTAACATACTTTGGTTAAAATTCCTCAATGGTCGTGTAAAACAACACACTTTTTACAGCTCTGTTCACAGCGACCCGTTTCGGTGGACGTCTCTTTAAATGCTAATGAGCTACTGCTCACCGACCCCTCTCTTCCATTTTTTGTGAATTTGGTTGGTGCGTTACCATCAAAAACAAAACGAATCCACTGCGACCTCAGTGGCTCTCATCTCGAGAGAAAATGAAGACTCTTATGTTCACTTTTACATCCAACTACATTGCTTACGAGACTGTTGTCGCTACAACTGCTTGAACGCAGAGAAAATGGTGGACAGCGTACAACTAGCTGAGGGCGGAAATATGCTAATATGGGACAGTATATTAAATATTAGGGACTAAAAAAATATTTTGTTGATTTTTATCATTGTAGGGTGGTTGCACTTCTAAGACACATTTATATGCAAACAACGTGTAAAAGTGAATTTTGCAACAGATGTCCCCATATATAAAAAAACAATACATATAATATTAATGAAATAAAAAGTATAAAAAGAAAAATTTTAAAAAAAATTTATAAAATTTGTTGTGCTTTAAAGAAGTACTAACATACTAATACTAAAACACATGAAAAGCATTTAATTATAATTTAACTGTAGTGGTTTATTCAATATTGCATTTAAAGTTTTTGAAATGTACTAAATTGCAACTTAATCTTTACAGATATGTAATTACTAATATATTTAAATACATGTTTAAATACAAGTTTAGGCAGTGTAGTATATTTTAGTTTACCATAAACACCAGTCGGTACATTCAGCAGTACACTTCAACCATATTTCAAAGACAAAAACGTAATTATGAAATGAAATAAAAAGATGTACTTAAAGGGGTCATATGATGCTATTTTAAAGATCATTATTTTGAGCAAAAAAATGTCTTGGCTCTTCCAAAGCTTAATAATGGCTGTTGAGATTTAGAAGTGCAATAATGTGCATCCACCCATCATGAAAAGTACTCCCCATGGCTCCGGGGGGTTAATAAAGGCATTCTGAAGCGAATCGATGTGTTTGTGTAAGAAAGCGTAGTGTAAGCTCCGGTAAGAAGTGATGAAAGAGCAGAGGAGAGAGCAAAACAAAACACCGGTCATGAATAAGAAGTACAAAATGAGGTACTTTCTATTTCTATTTGTATAGAAAAATGTTTGAGGATTTCGGCATAAGCCAAGAGACTCTCTCGTGAAAGGAGCATACGACAGTTAGCGGACGCTAGAGATTACGGCTTATAAAGTTTTAAATATGGATATTTTTCTTATACAAAAGCACTGATTTCTTTCAGAAGGCCGTTATTAACCCCCCTCCCCCCAATAAAGTGCATGGATGGATGCACTTTATTGGACTTCAAAATCTCAACAGCCATTTACTGCCATTATAAAGCTTGGAAGAGCCAGGACGTTTTTTAATATAACTCTGTAAAGAATCTGAAAGAATAGTCATATACTCCTAGGATGGCTTGAAGGTGTGTAAATCATGGGGTAATTTTTTTTCACTGAACAAAACAAAAAAAAATTGTGAACTATCCCTTTAAGTCCTAATTAAGTTGCTCAAAAAAGCACTTATAAGTTCAAATAATTGCATTTAATCTAAATTTAAAATACAATCAATTTTGATTTAATTGCAACCAACTTGCATACTTACAAGGTAGTGAACTTCTGCCAGGTTAAAATTGCTCTCCAAAGTCAAATACAGCGGCTGTCCAACCTGCAAAAGTCACTCTGTCAGTGAAAACAAAAATAATGTGAAATAACATGAAATTCAAACGGCTTGAGTACCTGAGGCTCACTGTCTCTGTGAAGCTGTATGTAGGATCTGCTTGGTGAAGAATAACTCCTGTAGAGCTGAAGACCCTGGACTGTATCTTTAAACCGGGCCTGAAAGCAACATTAGGAGGAAGAGATGTCAAGTGCCAAGCCTTATCCCAATTGACATGTTTCTACTATGCATCTTGGATATCAAGGCGGTGGAAAGCGTGGATGAAGTGTTCACACCTCTATATCAAGTGTGGCAACGCTGTCAGAGAGGTGAATCTGGAAAGACATCACGCCATCAGCAGTAACAGGAAGATCGATATTTTCAATTGGAATATCGTAAATGGAAGAGAAGCTGGATGCTGGTGTGTTGTTCATCATGCGAGGTGCCAGGGATTCGTCGTTATTCCACGTCCACGTCCAGGGGCTGAACTTGTGCTGGGTCACCGCCAGCCGCACACTTCTGCTCTGCTCTTCAGCTGTCAGTGGCCGGCTGTCATAGGTGCTTAACTTCAGCTTATAAAATAACAAAATAAAGGGGAAAAAATTTTAAAAAGGATGAATCCATTGGTCATGTTAGATCATGTCTGGGTCATATTTTACAAAAATTAAACATATATATATATATATATATATATATATATATATATATATTTTTAAAAAAAAAAAATACGAGATATTTTTTTTATATATACTGGGCTGCTCAACCGGGCAGCCGACGAGCTATCCCGAGCTGTGCTCCCGGGAGAATGGCGACTCCAGAAACCTCTCACTGCCAGTTGTTCTTCGCCCTGACCGAGGGAACACTCGGCACGGACGCACTGGCACACAGCTGGCCGCGGGGCCTTCTCAAGTATGCGTTTCCCCCAGTGAGCCTTCTGGCACAGTTGCTGTGCAAGGTCAGGGAGAACGAGGAGCAGGTCCTGCTGGTGGCACCCTATTGGCCTACCCGGACCTGGTTCCCAAAACTAATGCTCCTCGCGACATCCCCTCCTTGGTCGATTCCTCTGAGGAAGGATTTACTGACTCAGAGTAACCCTGAGGCCCCGGCCCGGATACACGCCCAAGGTTCCCGCTACTCCCTTAGGGATCAGGTGGTGAACCTCCAAGCACTGCCCCGTCCGAGCCTTAAGGTGCTACGTAGACCGGACGCAAAGCTTCAGGACCTCAGACCAGCTCTTTGTCTGTCACGGAGGCCGGCAGAAGGGGGAATGCCATCTCGAAGCAGAGGATGGCCCACTGGATAGTGGATGCCATCACCCTGGCTTATCAGGCACAGGGTGTGCCCTGCCCTTTCAGGTTGCGAGCTCACTCAACTAGAGATGTTGCATCCTCCTGGGCGCTGGCTCGTGGCGCCTC